TTGTTGATTTTTTGCTTTTGTTGTTTGTGTTTTAGGTGTCATAGCCATAAAATCATTGCAAAAACTGATGTCAAGGAGTTTTTTCACTGTGTTTTCTTCCAGGAATTTTATGTTTTCAGGTCTCACCTTTAAGTCTTTTACCCATTTCAAGTTAATTTTTATAAATGATGTAAGATAGGGGTCCAGTTTTATTCTTCTGCGTGTGAACATCCAGTTTTGCCAGCACCATTTATTGAAGAGACTGTCTTTTCTCCATTGAATATTCTTGGATCCCTTGCACCTATGACTCATCTTAATATTTCTATTAGATAGCATTGCTCTAGAAAACTCCTCCTATCTCTCTCTTTTTTCAATTATTTGCCAGTTGTATGGAGAGGATCTGGTCGAGGACCATGAAGTCACAAAAAATGGCTGAGGTTTGATGAGATCGAGGTGACTCCTTCCATGAATTACAATTCTAGGAAATCTGCCCACTGACCAGAAACACCTGCATTGAACTGTTTTGTGTATGAGAAATATCTTTTTTTGTTTTACACTACTAAGATTTGGATGGTATTTGTAAAAGAAGTAAGCATATACTGATTAATTACAAGTAATGTGGGTAAGAGTTGAGCAAGATAAAGCAGACTGGGAGCATTGAGGTAGTGATTTTAAATGAGGTCCCCAAGATAGCCCTCATCATGAATATGAGAAGCAGAAAACTGAAGGTAGTGAATAAGAACATTCAATAAGAAAGAATGCAAGTGCAAAGGCCTGGAAGTGGAAGAAGACGTTGCTTATTCAAGGAGCACCAACAATGCCAGTGTGGAAGGAGCACAATTAGATGATAGGTTGAGCCATCTGGAACGCTGATATTCTACTTATTATGACATATGAACACAGAAATCTTATATACTTCAATGTTATGAGTGAGAGTAGTAGATGATGATATCAGAAAGATAACAGAGTAGGGGCAAAAGGGCTAGATCATGTACAGTCTTGTAAGAAACTCTGAGTACATTGGCTTTTTCTTTGAGTGAAATGGGGAAACATTGTAGGTTTTGACTTATATATGAGATCAGACTATAAAGGAACAAGAGTGCAAGCAATCAGTCTAGTAAAGAGGCCTTTGCCATAAACTAGTTATGGAATGAGGATGGCTCAAATTAGGGTGGTAGTAGTGGAAGTGATGAATATGGTCAGATTTTGGGCCAAATTTTGAAAGCAGAGGCAACATAATGATGATAAATTAGATGTAGGCTGTGAAAAAGAATGACACTAAGTTTATAGCCTGAGCAAATGGAAAAATGGAGTTGCCATTTACTGTGATGGGGAGGTAGGTCTGTGGGTGAAGCAGGTTTTAGGGGAAATATAAGAATCTCAGTTCTAATATACTGACTTTGTTAGACAGGCCCATGGAGATGTAAAGTAGGTAACTGGAGTTACAAGTCTGAAGTATAGAGAGAAATCAGCCAAGAGACACAAATTTGAGACTTTTGAACTTATAGATGACATTTAAAGCCATGAGCCTGGATGAGATTACAAGGGAGAGTGTAGAGAAGACGTCTACCAACTAAGCCCCGGGACATAACAACATTAGGAGATGGGAGTGATAGAGAGGAATGAATAAAAAAGATTAAGAAGTAGCTGATGAATTACTAGAAAAACCGGGAAAGTGTGGGATCCTGAATGTAGACTAGAGAAGTCTTTTAAGGAAGATGAGATGATCCAAGGCTGCTGATAGATAAAGTTAGATGGAGATTAATAAATGAAAATTGGAGATCACTGATGACCTTAACAAGAGCAGTTTTCATGGAGTGGTGGGGGAGTGGGCAGGGGAGCCAGACTGGAGTAGGAGTAGGTTTTAGAGACAATGGAAGGAAAAACTTGAAGACAATGGACAGGCAATTCTTTCAAGGAGCTTTGCTGCAAAAGGGAGTAGAAAAACGAGGTGGTAGCTGAAAAAGTAAGTGGAAACAGAAGAGGGTATTTTCAAGATGGAAAAACTAACGACATGTTTTTATGCTGATATAACCCAAAAACATACTGCTCGATGCAAAAATAAGCAAGTTGTAGAAAATAGAAACATGACACAACTTATGCTTAAAAAGTTCACTAATAATACCATACTTCATCTAATATAAGACAAAATTTTTAAATATTTTTTAGAGAAAAAAGTAGCATTCTACTATACCCATTTGCTTTCCCTATATTTTTCTCTTTTTCCTTTTTCACATTTTAACATCTCTAAACACGGTGTATGTCTTAGTATTCATGGCTTATCATAGTTTAATTGGTGGTAATTTTTTAAATTAGTATACAAAATAAAAGTGTGTCTCAAAATTAATAGTATGTTACACACACTGGTATGCAAAATATATTTTCTATGGTTACATAAGTAGAGAAGGCAAAACAGCAAATTCATATCAAGGATAACAATCAGGGGAGTAAACAACTGTGATTGTGAATGCCCGTAAATATTTATTTGCAATATTCTAATCATTTAAAAAGGGAATGGATGCCAATATTTTGTGTGTAAATAAAAAAATTTATATAGAATATGTGAAACTGGCTAACGTTAGAGTCAACAATGTATAAATGAATGAAAAAAATATAAATAATTTAAAAAATATGTGAAGAGAAACTCACACAATAGGAATACTGAATAGCCAAAAAACACAGGAAAATAAGTTGAAACTCAGTAATAATCAGAAAAATGTAAACTAAAACAATGAGCTGCCATTCCTCACTCACTAGTTTGGCATACACTAAAAATATGAAACTATCAAGAGTTAACTAGGATGTGGAGAAGATGGAATACCTACAGTGCTGATTATACCATAATTTGGCACAGTGAAATAATGTAGCAATTTGGCACTACTGGGAACTTTGAAGTGCTTATACATACAATTCAATATTTCTTCTTCTAGTGTATACACTGCAGAAACTCTAGAATAAGTACAGGAAGATATTCACTGCAGCATTGTTTGTAATAATGAAATTTGAAATGAACTAAAATGATCATCAAGAGCAGAATGGATGTTTGAATATATTGTTCGATGGATGACAAAAATGTCATACATGTATACTCTGCAATAGAATTTGAAGATAAGAAGGAATGTTAGAGATATAATAGAGATCTAAAAATCAAAATATTCAGTAACAAAAGCAAGATGCAGAAAAATAGCATACATGTGATAAAACATTTAAAATAAAGCTCAGCCAAATTATATTATGAGACATGTCAGAGTTCTATTTCAAGTTTGCTGACAATATAAGAATGAAGAGAAAACAAAACATTATCTTGAATATCTGTGAGTGGATTTATATAGTTAAAAAAAGTGCTAAATAAGATTGTTTGATGAAGTACATAATTGGTTAGTTTCATAAAGTGTAGAGATGTCATATTCTTGTTGTCATAATGATCCAGGGCCATCTCCCAGAAATGTCAAGTGTGGGCCATTGAAAGAGAATTATTCTTTTTTCCTCCACAGTATGGAGTAATTATACTTCATAACGTACATTTAAAAATAAATATGAGATACAAAATGCATAGTATACGTATGTAAATATAAATATTATATGAATAAATATTTATATATAAAAAGATTGCTAGGATACACAAAAATTGAATGATTGTTATCATTAGAGAGGGGGAAGGAAATAGGATCAGAGCTAGAGGAAAAAATAATTACATTTTATTAACATTTTATTTCTACTTTTATTTTTTTGGCTAGGAAGATTGAACGACGAACACCAGGCTGACCCCAGCAGTCAAAGCAGAGTGCGAGAACTTAAACTACTACGCCACCTGGCTGGCCCCCTAATTTCTACTCTTAAATGCGTCAATAAAGTTAAGTAAAATTAATTTTGAACAGAGAGTATTTAGTACTTCTAATATTGCTATTTACACTGTATTTTCAAAATATAAAAATGATTTTACAAAAAATTTTCAACCACTGAATTTGCAAAATGATGTCCGATTTCTAAGAGATTAGAAAAAAGGCAAAGGAAATAATGAGTGTTAATACTTTGCCGCAAGCCCTGGGGAATAAGAAGTGGATTTACAATGGATTATTATTTTTTTTTAATTTTTTGTTTATTGCAGTAACATTGGTTTGTAACATTGTAAAAATTTCAGGTGTACATCATTATACTTCTATTTCTGCATAGATTACATCATGTTCACCACCAAACTACTAATTACAACCCATCACCACACACATACCGAATTATCCCTTTCACCCTCCTCCCTCCCCCCTTCCCCTCTGGTAACCACCAATCCAATCTCTGTCCCTATGTGTTTGTTTATTGTTGTTATTATCTACTACTTAATGAAGCAAATCATACGGTATTTGACCTTCTCCCTCTGACTTATTTCACTTTGCATTATACCCTCAATGTCCATTACAATGGATTATTTTCTTAAAGTGAATTTTCTAAATTTCACAGTGTCCACATTGTGCATGCAATTCTTTTGCAATCGGCGAAAAAGAAAAAAAGAGGAAAAAGAGAAAATTATCTTTAAGAGGTAAAGTTTGAGAATGACTAGACAGTAAAAATTACCTAGAGATTGGGTCAAGATGGCAGACTGAGCGCTAGCGCATTTCTCTCATCCTACCTCAAATCCCCTTAAATGACAGGAAAGGCAGGGTTCTCTATATAAAGAATAACTCCAGAGGGGCACGGGGGAAAGGAAAGGGCAAATTCTTGGAAGATGGAAAGCAGATGGGGCAGGGGCACTGAGGTGCAGGTCGGGGTAGGGAGCCCAGGGGCCCTGAACTGGGGAGGGGATGCTAGGTGGTTGGGGAGAAGGGTTGTGGGCCGGGCTGCTTCTGAGTTTGGAAAGAGGCGGGGCGGGGTCGGGAGCTAAGGAGCGCCTTCCAGGCCCAAGGCAGTGGTGGGCGTGCCAGTTGGGGAAAGGGTGGGCCGCACTCTGTTTGGCAGGAAGGGGAGGCCTCTCTCCTGGCAGGAAGCTGCGCTACGGAAAGAGGGAGGAGACTGCGGCGGCGGTAGCGGCTGGTGGGAGCCCGATGTGGCAGAGGGGCCGCCGCCCACGGGGAGGCGGAGGGCACGTGAGCCGAGTACTGGAGACACCGCCGCCATCCTCTTCGCCTGCCCCGCCGCCGTCCTAGACACGCTCCTCTCCTCCAGATCCTCCCTTCCCAGGTCTTACAAGCACCCAACTCGTCTGCTGCTGATCCTCTTTCGCCACAGGCTCACAGCGGAGGCAGCGGCGAGGTGTCTGATTTGGGCACGTGAGGCCCGCGATCCCTGGCCGTGGGGAGGTGGGCGCTGGACTAGAGAACCGGAGAGTGGGGGTCGGTGGGGGCCAGGCGGGGAAATTGGGGTCAGTGCCGGATGGGAGATAAGGAAGACTGAGGAGGGTGATTTGTGGACTGGAAAGGGAGGAGCCAAAGAGCACCTGGATGGTGTACAAAGAAAGGTGGCCAGAAAGGGAAATAGGTTTGTTGTGGGCGCCCAGCGGGAAAATGGGGATGACCAGGAAGAGATATTAAGGAGAGGTGAACACCAGGCAGAAGACATGTGGATGGGAGGCGAGAGGGATGAAGAGCAGATGGCAATGTTCAGTGGACAAAGGGATTACATTATCAGAAGTGGAGAGATGGGTGAGGAGTAAGAAATGGTATATATTTATGTTTGGTATCGGGATGCTAGGATGACACCAGAGGATCAGGCATTATGCAAAGGACCCTGCTCCCTCTTGCTGGGGTCTCAACCACCACGACCACCACAACCACCTCCTTTCTAACCCTACAGCACAGCCAAAGGAGCCTGGAGGGAGGGCACTTCGGGCAAGCATCCAGTAGTGTCTTGATATCCAGCATTCCTGTTGGACAAATCTGAATAACTTGGGTGGCAAAGTACCTGGTCCCTAGGGACTTTGCAATACAGAGAAAAAAATCTCACACTATAATACGCTAAATGTTTCTCGCTAGCCTGTTTCCTCCCACGGCAGGTATGAAGACCCCTCACAAAAAGACAGCTACGGGGCAGCCAACCAGGGAAGCTGTCAGTCGTCACCCCAGATCTGCAAATATGAGGAAGAAAAAGATCTCTCAAAAGAAGCAGAGGGGCAGACCTTCATCCCAGGCCGGCAGGAACATAGTGGGCTGCAGAATTTCACACGGGTGGAAGGAAGGCGATGAGCTCATCACCCAGTGGAAAGGAACCGTTCTGGATCAGGTGCCTATAAATCCCTCTCTTTATCTGGTGAAATATGATGGAATTGACTGTGTCTATGGACTGGAACTTCACAGAGATGAAAGGATTTTAAAGCTTAGAATCCTTCCTGATAAGGTGCCATTTTCTCGAGTTAGAGATATACACCTTGCAAATACCATAATTGGTAAAGCTGTGGAACATATGTTTGAGGGTGAGCATGGTTCTAAGGATGAATGGAGGGGGATGGTTTTAGCCCAAGCACCTATCATGAAAGCCTGGTTTTATATTACCTATGAGAAAGATCCTGTCTTGTACATGTACCAGCTTCTAGATGATTATAAAGAAGGAGACCTCCGTATCATGCCAGAGTCCAGTGAGTCTCCTCCAGCAGAGAGGGAGCCGGGAGGAGTTATAGATGGCCTAATAGGTAAACATGTGGAATATACCAAAGAAGATGGCTCAAAAAGGACAGGCAAAGTCATTCACCAAGTAGAAGCGAAACCCTCTGTGTATTTCATCAAGTTTGATGATGATTTCCATATCTATGTCTATGATTTGGTGAAAAAGTCCTAACTGTTTGGGTAAACCTTGCCACATTTGTGGAAACAAATGTATACTTTGTAGACATACAAATTAATGATGCTTTTCAGTGTATATTGAAAGCTTAAGGGTCCTTGTTAATTCAACATCTTTGCCAGTGTGACTGTTGTTTTGTTCTGAAAAATATAAGTGTATGTGCACATGACATGCTGTGTGTAAGGACTTTGTTATGTTGAAAAGACTGGGTGTGTTTGGTGGATGGGGCATGAAAGGAAGGAACAGCTGTATATTCAGGCTGTGAGTAAGTTCAGCTAGCATCATAATCAGTCATCTAAAAATGAAATAGGACTTAGCTGGTCTGGTCTAGGGAGGGGGGAGGAGAAGGAGCTAGAGATGGACTGTGGGGGAAGGAAGAAGGGGAGATGACTGCTTAGGAAGAGGTGGGGAGGGGCCAGAAATGGAGAGGCTCCCTGGGGGGAGGGATGACTTAAGAGAGGGAGGCACCCGCCTGGGAGGGGGTGAAGAATAACAGAGGGAGAGTGAGATCTTGGGGCTTAGAGGAAAGCAGACAGAATAAATTGAGTAGAGATGGGCACAAAAAAGCTTAGAAGAGGTCCAGAGCAAGGGGGAGAAAGACAGAGTTGGCAGGGATCTGGGGAGAGGCTAAAGGTTCCTCACAGGGAGGGTCTATGCATGAGTGAGGGGCCAGAAGGGGAGGGACACTCGGGAAGGAAGAATTCTGAGAAGACTGACTGACAAAGGGAGTGAGAATACAGAAAAAGAGGTGTGGGGAGTGGGGCCCATGAGAGATAGGAAGGCCCAGGAAAAAGTTGGACTTCTGGCAGTATCCACTATGCCCTCCCTGACTCTGTGCACAAAGGATGTGGCAACTTGCAAGAAGCCATATGGATTGGAGGTTCCCTAGAAGGGCATTTTGACAGGGATGACTCCAGTGTTAAGCCAAATTTATACCTAAAAGGCTTTTCTTATTTCAGGGAGTTCATGCCACACCTGCCGAACCCCAACCCTCAGCCTAAACACGTTAACATGGCGTCCCATAAGCGCAGGGCTGTGGGTGGCCTTCTCACATTTCCCAGAAGACCCAGTGCAGTAAATCTTGGACCTGAAAGTGTTGGTTCATTTCCCCTACACTGGATAAACAATTCCTGTGGGGAAGGGGCCAGTGGGGCGCTCAGAACTTAAAGAGATGTGCCGCCTTGAGTTTGGAAAGTATTTTATCCAGAAAAATGGAACCTTGCTGACCCCAGGTACAGCAGTCCCCTCACGGTTCTTCCTCCTGCTAGACTGTACCTTGCTCTTCTCTACAGAGGAGGGGCATCAGAGGACTGGGAACAGAATGTTTCTCTCCAGGGCATGGGGAGTACTTGACAGTCCCTGCTTCTCTCAGCAGCTGCCTGAAACCACAGGTGGCTCCACCCAGTGCTACACCAAATGGAGGTATGCTGCCTCCAGAAGCCCCATTCTGGCTATACCCTGACAAAGCCGGTGGCTACTGACCCTTCACAGGTACCTCCTGGCCAGTCTTGCCCACCCCAAGCACACAGGGAGCTGTGATGGAAGTTTGTGCACATCTGTTTCCAGGTGAGATAGATGGCATGGGGCATTCTGGCTGGGAGTTGTGACTTTGTATAACTAACTCCTTCGGCTGTATAGTGGCACATAGAGGGGTGGTGGTTGGTGGGGAGAGGGTGCGGTAACCCCAATAAAGTCCCTCAGAGATATGGTGTCCCAACACAGGTCTGTGTCCTTCTCTTCCTCTCCTCCTTGCCTTTCCCCAGTCCTGCTGTGGAAGTTCCCTTCAAAACCTTCTCTGGTTTCCCCACCCCACACTTCACTAAAATATACCCTTGCCCTCACAGAAAGAGTCCTAGTGACTTCCCACTGCCCAGGCACCCCTAACTCCATGAATAGCAGGGGTAGGGGGAGGCAGGGAGCTTTCAGCAGTTGAAAGAAGGTGGTAATTCCAGCTCATTCTCTCCACCCGACATGACCTGAAGCTGTTTGCCTCAAGAATTACACGGGGCAAGCCCACCTCATCATAGCAAGGATTAGTTTACCTGCATACATCACACAGTTTAGTCTAACAAATACCTGCCACCCATGGGCCAATTTCAGCCAGCCTCACGTTTTGTTTGATCTTTGTGTTTTTATTGTTTTCTGTTTTTAAATTAGCTACTTAGACATTTGGGAGATTTCACATTACAAAAGTCCATATTTCCGGCTCTCCTGAAAAATAACCAAAAAACAAAAACAATAAACTGAGGATTAAGGCCCACATTCCAACAAGGACACAAGCAGCTGGGTCTGAGGCAGGCTCAGCCCATTTTAGACTCAGAATGCTCTCTCAAGTTGGCCATGCCCCCAGCTGGCCTGCTTCACTCTAATAAAATGCCCAGTTGTCCCCTGGAGGCATTTGCTTTTGTAGCTTTGGGGCTAGACCCAGGGAAACTGCCTAGCCCCCCTTTTGGCTTACTTTGACTCCATTTGCTTTTTAATTTATTTGCTTTATCTTCATCCCACCAATACTTTCTTCAGATAGGCTCTCTGCCAGGCAGTCTTCTAGGCACAGGCACTTATGATATGGTAATGAACAAAAGAAGCAAATAAAATAATCTTACCCTCATGGAGCTTTCATTTTTGTGTGAGAGACAGACAATAGCCCAGATAAAATAAGTAAAATATAAAGTATTTTCAAAATGACAAGTGTTGAGAAGGAAAAAGTAAAGCAAGGAATGGGAAATTGAAATTCCCAGAGAGGAGGCTGATATTGGGTAGATAGGGAGGCCAGGGGGTCCTCACGGAGAACATGGCTTTGAGTAAACACCTGAAGGCAATGAGAGAACTAATCTTGTGTCTGTCTGGCAAAAGAGCATTCCAGATAGAGGGACAGCAAGTGCTGAGGCCCCAAGGCAGGAGTAGGCCTGGCGTGTTCGAGAATCACTGAGGATACCAGCATGATTGGAGCTGAGTGAGCAAGGTAGAGAATATCAGGAAGTAAGTTCAGAGAGGTGATAAGGATCCAGGAGAAGCAGATAGCTCAGAGCCTTAGAGGTCTGAGAATGGAGTTTGGCTTTTACACTGAGTGTGATGGGGAGCCATTCGAGTATCTTCAGCAGAGGTGTGACGTGATTTGTCTCATATTTTAACAGGATCACTCTGGCAACTCTGGAGAGTAGTGTGTGTGGGCTTCAAGGGTGGATATAGGGAGGTACAATATACCAGTGAAACAGAGGAGAGACCTAGAAACAAATTTGCATGTAGGAAACTGGAATCATAATGGGGTGACATTTCAGATGACTGATGAAAAATCATTTTATTCAATAATAGATGTTGGAGTAATCTCTTTTTATATGACCTTACACACAAAGTAAATTCCAAGTGAAAAAAAGTTAGTACTTAAATTTGGAAAGTAACATTTATAAAACATTTAGAATAAAATGGAAGAGAATGTTTGTTTTTTTTATGGAAATGGGGAGGACTTTGTTTAAAGGAAAAAAAATGCACAGGTAATGAACGTAATGTTTGATAAACTTGATTATATTAAAATATGTAAGCCCCTAATTTCAAAAATCATCATTTACAGGTGGAATAAAATAAGATCAGGCTACAAACTTCGATAGTTAAAATGAATGAAATAAAAATATATTCGATGTGAAAAAAACAAACAGTCCATAGAAAACTTGGCAAAAAATATGAACAAGCAATTCACAAATAGATCACCTGGCCAATAAACATACATTACCTTAATCTCTTCCCCATTACTTTACTGTATCTTTTCTATAACATATACCATCTTCCCGTGTACTATATAATTTACTTAGTTAATATGTTTATTGTTGTTTCCCTGAAAGTGTATGATTTTTCTTCCTTTACACTCACTAATGTATCCCAAGTCCTTATAAGAGTACCTGGCATATAATAGGTATTTAATAAATATTTGTTAACTATATGTATCTCATCAGTAAGAAAATAGAAATTAATATAACATGATTTCACACACGTCAGATCAGCAACACATGTGAACTTTGAAAGTATGTAGTGACCGGTTAAACAAGTGGGAGATCCTATACACTGTAGGTGAGAGTTGAAGTCAGGAATTTGCCATTATCTACTGAGTTTGAAGATGGCATATTTCCAGCAATTTCACTCATATGTTGTTGGAAGGCAATTCTGCATGTGTCTCACACGTTTCTCTATAGCTTGCAAGCAAGACGCTGACTATTCTTTCTTTTGAACTATCTTTTGAAAGATGTTTGAATGGCAAACAGCTTTGGAAGATAGAGACGGTAGGTATCTGTCTCTGAAGTAAAGAGCAGGTTTGCTTAGAGTCTTTAGAAAATAGAAAGTGATTCCTTGTGGAGCAAAGGGCAGGAATGCATGTTCCAATATAATAAAGGTAATGTCTCCTTCAAGAGCAAAGGGATGGGATGCTTACTGCCCATTATAAAAGTTTTAGGCTCCCAAACTGAGATTTTCTCTCTTGTAATGCAAACCTACTTTACATGTAAATGTCATGTGATCATTTTGCATCACCCTGTGGGAAGTAGGACTCAGGCTTCTAGGGTAAAAATGCTGATATTTGGGCTATTGCTGTTACTGTGAATAATAAACTATCCTCTATCTCTGACCTAGAAGTCTCGTGTATTCTACTGGCACCCAAAAAACTGTGGCAGGCTACCCTGTTAGCTCAAAAATATGACAAATTTAATAATTTTCACAGTTCTTGATACTTGTAGCAATGAGGATAGGATGCTGACAGAGACATGGCTTTCTGTAAGAGGAAGAATGTGGACCTCACTGGCCAATTAATGGAATTTGTGGGTAATTTATGAGACTTGGTGGTGAATGTACAGACCAACTATGTAATAAATAGTCTTGCCTCTTTTAATAAGGAGGAAGTGGAGAAGTGGTTGCAGGATGAGAGCTGAGAACCCTTTGTCCCCAAGGGAGATCAAAGTTCATGTGGACCTGTCTGAATATGCTGGGGAATTTTGGCAAGGGGAGAGAATTAAACTTTTATGGCCTTATTAGATATGGATGCTGAAGTCACTATTGTACCCA